AGCACTAAAAGATAAACAAATAAATAATAGAATATGCCATTCAAAATTGTTTTGTGTGTTAAGGCCATATAAATAAGTGAAAATCAGTTTAAAAATATTGCTGTTTCACTTTTCACCTTTGTCTACCGGTTATCTGAGCATAGATGCTCAACTGAGCTTCTTTATCATGGCGGCGGGGCGGGGGTGGGGTGGTGGTGGTGGTGGTGTCTAAATTTCTATTTCCACCCTCATGTAAGCTGTGAGGTTCTAAGGTGAACTCTGGAAACTGTTAAAAAAAAAAAAAAGTCAACTCACAAGACAAGACGGGCTTGAATGACTTAACCAGCATAAAATGCTCTTCCTTGCCCATCTGTTCTCAACCAAGATCGGAAATGCAATAGGACCCCAGTCAGGAGCACTCAGCTCTGTTGAGACCTCTGTGATAGGAATGAGTCAGGATATGGGTCATCTAAAGCAATGGAGAGCTTTGGAGGTAAGAGTTCAGAGGACTGATAGCTGCCAGGGAAATAGAACTGTGGGTCTCCCTGGCACTGAGTTACCACATAAAAAAATCCTGGTGTATCTGAGTCTCCCCTGTGTGTACCATGCTCTAGGATGACTGGGTGGCATTGTCGTGTGGAATTTATAGCTGTATTCAGGCTTTTTCTTCCTAGGCAAAGTGAAGTTGAAAAAAAAAGAAAAAAGAGTTCACTGCTGAAGTCAACCTCAAATATCAAGGCAGTGGAGACAGCAGTTGTACCTTCATTACCACAGCCCATCTTTACTCAGCTCGTGCCCTGAATCTCACACAAGAACTTACCTGTCCATCAACACAGAGGGGTCACATTAAACCAGACTAGTACTATAGAAACTACAGGCCAGAACATGATCATCACTTCCAGTGTCATCTTGGACTGAGTCAACCAAGGGTGCCTTTGGTCCCTCTCGTCCTTGGCCTTCCACGCTCTAAGGAAAATCCTGTCCTCACACAGCAACTAGACTCCGCAGCTAATATGAAATAGTAAGACCTACCTCTCTTCTTCATTCCTAAAATGTCTGTGATTCATATTAGTAATGATTTATGAAAAAAAAAAAAAAACCCAATCACTTCCAGGAATGTGAATGATGTGGAATATGACTCAGTCTATAGAGTACCCAGGTAATCTCAGGGATTGTTTACATTGTGTATGAAGATGAAATCGAATGTTTATTCTTAATGCATCATTCAAAGTGTACATACATTCACCCAGAATTTGTCATTTGTCATTCTGTGCTCTGTTCTCTAGTCTACCCATTATATCTCCAAGATAATCAGAGGGGCAAGCAAACTGTTAGCATTATGAAACAAGGGGACCTCATGCCTGAAATCTTTCTATTAAAATTTAACCCAACCTCAGAAACACACACACACACCCCTCCAAGCACCTGAGTAAGACCTGCTTTGAAACTTGAAGACATTTGACTTGTGACCTGAAGCCAAAGCCTTTAGTGACATTCCCCCCCCACCCAGTATTCTCTCCTGATTATAAAGAAACAATAAAACCCTAAACACAACATAAAAGAGGTGATACCTTCCTCCTCTCCAAGCATAAGAAATGTAAAAATATAAAGTGACTCCAGTAAGCCCAACCACATGGAGAAACCAAAACACAATATGAAGATTAGGAGGTAAGTGGTTATAAGTATACTTAAACCTAAAAACAAATGAACATAAATACACTTGCATACTCAGATAAATCATTTACTCCAGAAGACGGCAACTTCTAACTTCTTTTTAATAAGGCTACACTCAGATTAGCAGAGTTCCCAGGAGAGTCTATAATGGACAAACAAGGGTAATCAATGGAATTAGTTTTGATGGGAGAATAATTATCTTCTCTTCCATAAATTCTAAACAGAACAAATTGCCTCTTTATAAATGTGTTTCTTGTGCATATTACACAAATCAGCGTTCTATTGAAATTAAAAGGACAGCTAATTTAGTAGGTGTTCATGCACCTGGTCTTGCAACATTCTGCATGTGTCCTCAAGTTTCTCACTGTTAATTTTCTAATGAGCAGTTTTGCTTTCAAATGCCCCAAGGCCAGTTGCTCAGTCCAAGCATAAACTTAGTTTAAAAAAGTTCAAAGCTTCAAGAAAATTTAAACAGCATCATCAGGACTCCAGTGTACATTGCATCTCCTCTTATTTGAGAATTTGTTTCTCTCAAGTACTCTTATTTGAGAATTTGTTTCTCTCAAGTGTGTGTGTGTGTGTGTGTGTGTGTGTGTGTGTGTGTGTGTGT